ATAGAAATGTATCTGTGTATTGTTATAATGCATAAAGATGTGTGCTATGTGCATGTGTTCATAGCCACCTTTTCTAAAGTATACTGTTATTTGTGGACTTGCTTTTGGGGGGGTTGTGGTTTACAAGCAGGATTAAACCTGCTGAACTTTGGTTGACAGCTTCAACAGCTTAAACTTTGACTGAACCCTGAGATTTAGAGGACATGTTTATTGAGACTGCAAGCCTGAATTCCTTATCTTGTTTGCTTTAGTGCAGTCTAAGCTGTTGTAACTAGAGAATCCCTGACTTCAATAAATTGCGAGCAGGACGTGTAGACCGCCAGAGTGGGGTGGAGACCTGTACTGTGCGGTCCCTTCCTATTCTCCTCGCGAGTAAAACTAAACTAATTGTCTCTGTTCCTTTTTCTTTCCCTGTATGGTGTTTTAGGTGCTTAGACCTGACAAGAACTCAACTCAAAAATGTTTTTCTACTGCCTTTTTTGCACCATATATATTTGTTTTGAATTTTCTACATCAATTTTGCACCATGTTTTTTCCTCCCACACTGTTTATATTTGATCACTGTTGCACTTTATGAAATGGAAATGTTCCTTTTCAGTGCTAAGCTGCTTGGTATACACTCTGTGTATACAAAATGACAATATAGGTGTCCAAGTCTAAAGTCTGAGTTAAATCGTCCACCTAAAATAAATCACCTTTACGTGAGGCCAGCTCCTCATAATGTGTTTTTTTTTTTTTTCTGTAGCCGACCAGGTCCCAGGAAGTGCAGTACTGCTGTTTGATGTTGAGCTGGTTGAGATAGAGGAGGGACTTCCTGAGGGCTACATGTTTATCTGGAACGAAGAGGTCCCCCCAGGCCTGTTTGCCAAGATGGACAGGGACAACAGTGGATCAGTGGAGCCCTCTGAGGTATGGGATATTACTAAGACTTTCATGGATTTATTTATCTTTTACCTTCTCACATCAGTTAAGCTTTTGCTCTCCACCTCCTGCCTCTACAGTTTACCGACTACATCATGCAGCAAGTGAATGATGGTAAAGGACGCCTGGCTCCCGGCTTCGATCCCTACCGTATTATAGACAACATGTTCTCTAACCAAGACCGCAACGGAGACGGAAAGATCACAGAAGAGGAGTTCAAACTCAAAGCAGATGAAACTAACCATGACGAGCTATGATGGGACAGAGTGGATAGTAGATCTGGGTGTTGGGAAAGGGGTCTGGAAATTGGGAAATGTTGGGAACTTCTGTTGGTGGGTTGTTTGGTAGTGGGGGGATAAAAAAACATTGAATAGGAACTCTATTCAGATTTAGATTTTTTTTTATTTGAGGACTGAAATAATATTGAACTATGGTTATTCTCACATGAGAATGGAAAACAAGGATTTAGTTGTTTTTTGTTTTTTTTTTAAAGATAAAGACAAATATTTTAAAGTTTTGATTTAAGGACTGAACCTGTTTGTTTACCTCCTTAATTGTCAGACATTCTAAATTTTGTCTTTTATTTTTAAAAGGTTTATTATTATTATTATCTGAACATTCAGCACTCCTTACATTTTTACACTTTGTTTTTAGATGAGGGAAACTGTTATTCTCCGTTTGTCATGCTTCTTGCAGAAGCAATGCTTTGGTGTGGCTCTCCAGAGTTGGATCTAATATGTTCTTTTCTGTGGTTTATAATGAACATTTCCTATAGTTTTCTGTTTGTGTTTTCTGCTGTTAAAAATCCTCCTTCAGTGATACTTGATCTTTTTGATCAATGGTTGTGTCTGTTTTTCACCCTTTAACCTTTTGAGTTTAGGTTTTATTGTGTGTATCTGCGAGGGTGTGTGTGTCTGTTTGAGAATAATGTGTAACAGTGTGGGGGGGTGTCTGTTTTATTTAGAAAAAGAATGTGGCTTGATGACAAATGCGTGAGCTTGGTTCAATAAATGGTCTGACTTTAACATCTACATTCTCATGTTTTGTTTAATCAGGTTGTATTCTGCGTATAGTGTACAGAACTGTATAAAGCTGGTTAGTATTTCTTTATTTTACTGTTTCACTGCAAATATTCCTCTGTGGAATCCTCCTACGTTTCCCTGTTTAAAAGATAACAGGATACTTCCTCCTGGCCTCACCTTATGCTCCTCCAGTATCTAGGCAACATCTGTTATTTGGGGGGAAGGGGGATCCGTTTGCAAATTTACGGCCATCAGATTCTTTTCAAGAGAAACAACATGTAGCCCCTGGTCATTTGCCTTCTGAGATCTTACAGCTGTTCATGTCAGTTACTGGTTTTTTTTACCTGAAAAAGACTTTTAGAGAAGCTGCTGACTTCTCTTAAGCTTGTTTTCCTTGAGAACATGTGGGTGCCTGGAGGCATTTACTTTAACTTCATCAATAAAAAGCATATAATGTAATATTTGGGTCTTTTTATCCCCAGGGTGAGAATACTTATTCTGTGTTTTAAGTCATTTCTGCATTGCATGTTTTTGGTAAAAGTTTAGAAGAATGTAAATCAAAAGCACTGCCCCCATGGAGTGTGGAGTTAGCACAGCTGCAGAGGACCAAATGGTGGAATGTGTCTCCCTTATATTTTCCTACACCAACAAGTTTTTTTTTCCTCACCATTCACTTCAGTAATAGTTTAGAGCTGGCCAATCAGATTAGGGGCCTGGGCAATGGGGTGACAATGTTAAGCCTTTATTGTTGTGAGAAGTCAGATAGGGAAGAAATAGAACAAAGAGTGTGAGTCCTAGAAGTACATACTGAAGGTCACATATGAATCTTGGTGAAAACAAGGTTGAAAATATCTGATATCTGTGGTGAGCTACTTTTTTGGCATAAACGGAGAACATTTGTATAAACATTTTTGTTCCAGTGTCAGCGCAACCTCTTTGACCAGCACACGTGCTTTCCAGTAAGATTTCGACACAACATTCCATGATGCACGTGCATCTACATAGTGCAATATTGAGACTATAAAACAGCGGGGGGATGAGATGTCTGATGATGTAGTGCTGAACTTATGAAGTGTTTAATACAGCTGTAGGAATTTCGAATTGTCAATACATGTTTCCCCAGTGCAAAGGACAAAATGGAGTGCTAGTTACTCTACCAGTCTTCTTTTATAAGAAAAAAATAGTCCGACAACCATAACGCAGCCGTACAATGGCACAGTGCATCATATCCGAACTATTATGTTACCATGTTTCTTTGACACTTAGTACGTCTTCGGACATACAGAGAGATAAGGCAGATTTCTACATTTACACCCTCCTTAACGGTGTTGTCATCTAATATTGCAAAACTGATGAATAAGGGAGAGAGTGATTGTCAGATATGCTATTACACCATCCCCTCAAAGTTGATCCTTTTGAATATACCTGAATTTGCTTTCTCCTTATTTAGTAACTCATCATCAGCCATCAGACCTCCTATCAATGGATAATGTTGTCATATCATGCCCATCATAATATTTCAAACAAGAGCAGAAAAGGTTTACTATGACTTCATCCATACTAGAGCTGAAACAATTTATCGGATAAATAGTGATTAATCAAGTATTGAAATCATTGTCAACTAATTTAGAGATGGAATAATCGTTAACTGGAGTATAAAGACTCTAAAAGATGCCTTTAGCTGTCAGAGCAATCCACTCAGAGCAGTATTTTTACCAAAATTTTAAAATAATACATATATATTTTGAATTTAAGAAAATATGTCAATATGCTCTTTCCAGAACTCCTCAAGTAGAAAAGTTTTAGTTTTACCCGGTTTAATTTCGTAAAAAGTCTTCTTTAAGGAACCTTTTGACTATCCGATTATTAATTGCTTAATCAAAAAGATAATTAACAGATTAATTGTTCTGCTAAACGATCATTAGTCGGAGCCCTAATTCATGCTTGCTATTTTTTTAAGAGAAATGTAAGCTCTGCAAAGGAACCATGAACAAGACTAAATGAACAAGACATGGTTGGAGGCACAGATGCTTCTCACTGTTGGCTGAACTACAATAGCTGATTCATTAGATGGTCCTTGAAATTCACCATGGTGCTGCAGATGCTCACTTTCATCTATGACTGAGTGGGGTTCACTGGACCATTTTTCAAGTTGTCTAGTTTCTGCCAGACTATGGTTTATCTCTGCGACATATGTGTCATTTGGAGAATCCATAATGGATGTCGTTGCCTCAGTTCTCAGTTTTGTTTTGTGTTTTCTCAGCAGTTATACACAAAGATTTATCTACTGTTGATGTTTTAACACCTGTAGCAGTTTGGGTGTTTTCTGTTTTCTTTGTTGATTTCACTTGGGGGGCTGCAGTTTCACTATGAAATGTGATAGGCTGTATCTCAAAAACACAGTTTGACTCAATGCCAAAGTTCCTGTACACAGATTTAATCCGTTCAATCATGTCATCAAGACGTTTGAATTTCAGCATGACTGCTTTTCCACCTCTTCCACCAGGAAGCAATGACATGCCTGTAGACCTACGAGGGTGAGGATCAAAATATGCAAATTCACCAGAACTCAGCCTGCAAACTGCAATCCCTAATAATGCAGTGACTAGCAAAGCATACTGGACCTCTGATGCCAAGATCTGCAGTCCCTGTTCAAGGCTTTGTAGTTTATCTCTGGGGTTACCGTCAAATATTCCATAAGTAGGATACCGAGACATGTCAACACTGTACTAATGATTGCGGCTTCTAACCACAGAAGGAAGCTGACTGCAGAATAGGAATTCATTGTTCGGCTCAATACGTCTAATTGCCGAGAAAATGGCGTTACCCATGTCCAACACACGGTAAAGGTAATTTCGAGTAATAAACTCATCTTCATGGAAAAATGATAGGAAAACCAAACTATTAGCCATACATTGCCTATCCCTGTATTTCCCATACTTAGTAGAAGCCCGACTTCTGGATGCACAGATTCTTGTCACTGGTGGCTGGGCTTCATGTGGAATGGCTGGTTCACAAGATGGTCCTGGAGCTTCTCCATGATGCTGCCTATGCTCACAGTTAACTACAGTTACCACAGGTTCACTCTGCATTACCTGCTGTACATTGAACTCTCCAACAGTCGTTTGTTGGCCCATTTTTTCCTCAGAAGACATCAGACCTGTGCAGTGATCAGGAGATTCGGTGGTTCATGTCCAACCACGATTACACAACGTTCCTAAAATGATGGGTAATTACACTTATACAGGCCTTATAGATTAACTGCATGATCATACTGGGCAGCCTCAAGCAAAAATTATAAACTCAAAAATAAATCACATATAAATAAATCATATATAAATAAATCATATTTTATTTTTGTTGTGGAATTTTCAAACAGGTGATTTTTGTAACTAGGATCATATAATCTTTACATTTACATCCTATCACCATAATAACAGCTTATTTTAAATAAACAAAAAAAAAAAAAAAAAACAGCTGTATCCATGAATAGAAAATAGGATTGTGAAAATATATTCCTGTTATGTTTCACTATAACTTTATTAAAGGACACATTATTTTTATGCTGGCCCCGAGAGCTTATTTTTCATTCATCTATAGGTGTTATGACTAAACATGTATTTTTGGTGTGGCTGCTTCAAGCTGCTCGTGAGAATGATCCAGATTTATAGGTGTGTCTTAATTGTTGCAATTTACTCTGAATATAAAAATGTAACGTAACTTTTTTAAACAGAAAAACATATTTTAATACAGGTGTGTGTGTGTGTTTCTATGTGTATATAGATATATAGTTTGTTTTTTAGTTATTTACTTTGTGCTGGGTAACCAAAAAAGTAAACAAGAGACGGCTGCTAACAGTGCAAAGTGCGCATGCGCGGCTTCGAAGCTTGGCGGTGCCATGGCAACCTGAGCCTGGTGGACGCTGTTATCTAGCTACACTTCAGACATTTAACATGGTAAGTCCGTGGATGTCTCGATTTACTTTTAGGAAAAACTGCACGCTTACTGTTGCTTTGTGAAACATCCGCCACCAGAGACTTGAAAGGGACTTAGCAACTAAATGTGAGCTAATTTTAATGTAGAAAAGTGAAAAGCTTTTGTGGAGGCCTGTGTGCTTAGTTGTTAACTAAACTCCATAAACTGATGTATTTCTTTTTTGTGCTTTTTGTGTTTCATGTTTTATGTTATTTGTTTGTTTTTGATGTTTTTTTTTTTTTTAAACCTGGGAGTAAATGTGTGTTCATATCATGTTGTTAGCATCCTGTTACTTTGTGACCACAGACAAATCCCAGCTATAATAATCAAATGTAAGCTATGATTAATGATATAAGATTTCCTATAATGTGTCCAGGCAACTACTGGAGAAGCTATAAAGAAATGGGTAAGTGGATGATGTTACTTAACAAGAGAAAAACAGTGAAATATTTATAAGTAGGGGCTTGTTTTATAAAGAATTCAATGTGGTAATTTCTTTTTTTTTTTTTGCATGCAGGAAGCGAAGGACACGGATAACAAAGCGGATGTGTCTAAAGAAGTTCTAATGTATGGTCAAATCCCTCCTATAGAGAAAATGGACACTTCTCTCTCTGTGCTGACCTGCTGCGAGTAAGTCCTGTTTTTAACCAGGATGAAGGTTTACCAGGGTTTTAAGGGTTATCATTTTAAAACCACAAAACTGTATTTTTTTAGCAACTTTCCTACGGTTAATCTACTTGAAATGGGTTTCCAGACAATCCTCTTGAGGGACCAGATTTTTCACTAGCTGTGGGACATTTAAGGATTCTGTGCACCTCTCTGCCTTCCTAACTCTCAGCTAGCTGAAAGAAGGGTGTAGCAATAGAAACTTAGTAGGGTTACTCTAGTTGAAAGCCTTGAGTTTGGAAGCTCTGGGCCTCATGTCTCACAAACAGATATGTTATTGTTCTGAATCTTCACTCCGTGTAAATTTGTGATAAAATGAAAAGATTTTCACCCAAGGTTGTCATGAAACTTTGAATCACATATCCATCATTGCATATCCAGGCTGCATCCATGGCTTAGAAGTTGTTGTTTTTTTTTTTTTCTCAGAGCGACTACTTCTTTCATGGAGTCAGTTCTTGTTAATAATATACATTTGCTTTCAGACAGCACCTTAATGTGAGCATCTTATACAATGCAACATTATAATTGTTTCTCCCCAAAAGTTAAATTTGTCAGTATAATTAAAGTGAGGGCTTTTAATGACTTATTATTGACTCTTTAACAGTAATAAAATAAAATTTAATCAGACGTTAAGGTCATCTTTCAGATATCTCAAATGTTTTCATTCCACCTCCTTCCCAGGAAGCTGTCCTTGTCTTCCAACTGCATTGAGAATATAACCAATCTGGACAGCTTCAGTGAGTATTAACAGATTTCCCCTCTACCCGAGGTCCTGTTCTGCTGTACCTAATATCGATTTAATTCAACATGTCTCCTCTTAGAAAACCTGAAGATACTTTCATTAGGCAGAAATAATATCAAGTCTCTTGTAGGGGTGGTAAGTTAGATATAATCTTACATTTTAAGTTTGTGTTCCTTCTTTTTCTCTAAACAGAATATTTTCTATATCTCCTTCTTGTCTCAGTTTGTTGCTTGTGTTTTTGCAGGAGGCAGTCCGAGACACTTTGGAGGAGTTGTGGATTTCATATAATTTAATAGAAAAACTGACAGGTGTCAACACCTTGCAGAAACTTAAAGTCCTCTCTATTCGCCACAACCTTGTCAAAGATTGGGGTAAGCTACCCTCCTTTACAAAGTCAACAGATTAGATTTAGAATAGAAATTGTTTTACTTTTTGCAGCTCCTTTTTTGGTCTTTTTTTTTTTTGGTAAGTGATATACCATCATAATTTTTGTTATTAAGATCATAATGTTTTTGGTTTTATCTAAATCAAGGATTCCCAAACAATTCAGCTCAACTACTAAAAACACATATAATTACCGCACTCTATGATAATTTATACCGTATTTTCACAACTATAAGGCACATATAAACGTCTTTTTTCCCTCAAAATGTGTGGCGCGCCCTATAGTGCGGTTCGCCCTATGTGTGTTGTTAGTGCGACGTTTTTGAGACCACCATGAGAACGTTAAAGGGGGAAGTGTGGGCGTGGATTGAAAATGGCAAAGAGACACGCCTATGAAGCACAGTTTAAACTGAAGGCTATCAGCTACTGTCGTGGATGTCCTCAGTACGACGTATGAATTTATGCTAGGTCTTACCAAAAATTCTAAGTTCTTAAAAAGCAGTTGAAAAATCTTCAAACAATGGTAAAAAACAAGCAGAGGCAGCTGGGTCTCGGTCCAGAATGGCTTATTGCAACAACACAAGTCTACCACACATGAGATGTTCACCGGTCAACATCTGAATGATACACAGAAACAGGCCTGCTTATATTCATTCCCTGGGGCTTTGGGGCTCCTCCCCGAGCCCCTCCTATTTTTACGTAATTTCAGGTACTTTTCCACGGATATCTTTATTATCTACCTACCGGCGGAAAACCACCCAGAGTACACATTTTTATATATTTTATTAAAAACCTTGCCCATTTCCGGACCTGCGGGCCATGGTGATAAACATTGTGTTTCCATTGACACATCAGCATAGCTTGTTGTTTAACATTGACACGTCAGTACAACTCAACCTTGGGTTTCTCCATTGCCACGTTTTGTTTGTATTAACCCTCCTAATCTTATCTCAACCTCCGGACTGCCACACAAACATTATTTTACTTAGATATTATGTTGAAGCACACCATTTAACCATTGTGACAAGAATATATTTATTGTGAGACATTAATCCACTATATTCTATTCATGGTGCAATATTAATTCACTTCACTACGCAGAGGAACATGGAAATCGAGCACCCGCGAGAGAATTCAAGATTAATGAATCGATTTTTTTCTTAAAAGTGGAGGAAGATGGAAAACGGACTCCGACAGGTGAAGAAGGCGCAGTTGAGTTTCTGCGGACATAAGGCGTGGTGGCCCGAGTTGGAGGAAAGACTTGCATCACCATCGCTGTTAATCTGTGACTCCATGCGTGCCCATCTCACAGCCAATGTGAAAAACACGGTGAAACAAATTAACGCTGTGCTTGTCTGACAAAGGAACTTCAACCGCTCGACATCGGTGTGAACCGGCTGTTCAAAGTAAGGCTGCGAGCGGCGTGGGAGCGATGGATGACCGG